ATAAAAACATAAAAAAAAAATTCGTTCCGGGCCCAGATTCGAACTCTGACTATTTGCGTGGAAGGCAGATGCTCTGTCCACAGTTCCACGGCTGCTTTTATGATTATAGTTTTAATACTCGTAATTAAATTAGTTTAATATAGTTTAATTAAAATTTATTTTTTCTTAAAAATGTGGACCAAATAAAAATAAGAATGCTATTATTTATCGATTCTACACAAAAATATAACTCATTTTAATGTATATTTAATCTCAGTAACTAAAAAATATACTGACAATTAGTTTGACAGAAAAAAATAGTAGTTGGGTATCCAAAATATGAAATATGATTGGTGGATCTCATTTTTTTTTGCAGTCTCCTCACTACCTAGAATGGATATAAAATATATTCGTTCAATTGAACGTAATAGCATACTTTTTCGTTTTGTAATCTGTATGTAGATAAGCTAATATCCATGTGGGTGTAAAAAATATATATTAATATTACTTTTACATTAAAAGTAAAACTCAAAGTTTGAAACATTCTGTATAAAATTTCGTTACTTTTGGTTTTTTTTGCAATTTAGAACGGCATCTCTATTCGTTTTAATGTTACGTACTTTTATGTGTACTTAAAGAATTCATGTTTACTGTTGGCTGTTTAGAAAGAGTTGCAGTAATATGTACCTATACCTCCATTCCATTCCTAACATGGCAGTGTTAATATTATACGTAAACAAGATGAAAAACTAGCCAGGTAGGTATTATAAACAATAATATACCGATATACGATCCAAACTGGATTTCAAATTTTGATACACGCCTACTTGATTGACCACAAGACGGTGGGTTTCGGTTTCGAAATATTTTATTGTTATAAACTAATGAATTATTAGGAATAGTTTCAATGCTCATTTCAAACTTTATTTCACTATAAAAATTTAAAAGTTATATTATTTATTTTTATTGTAAAACATAAAAATAATTCCAAATCAAATGTGACAAGACGTAAAAGAAAATAAACAACTCAGGAAGTCCCATATTATAATATGTGACCATATCTTTATAGAATATGCCACAAAATACAATAAAAATGAATAAATCAATAAAAAAGTGCTTGCAAGCACTGTGCTCGAAGCACTAGTGGTGCTTGAAGCATTTTTTCAAACACTTTCGAGGCAATTACTGCCCAGATCTATAAGGTTCAGACTGTGGACCGATATTATTTTATCTATTTGTTGATGATATTTATCAGAACATAGAACTCGAAGTTTTTACTTTTTGATGGCAATTTTAAGATTTACATGACTTTAGATGGAGTTGTTAGTTAGATAGTGTGACATAAATAATTATTTTCTACGATTGACTTTAAAAGTCACTTTTAGTGACATTTCTCGTTCATAGAAGTAACCTTGAAGTAACACTTTTACTTCTTAGGCATTAAAAATCATTTTTTCTGCCTGGGGCCCTATTCTCCAAGTTGAACGATGTGAACATTCCACTGTGGGATGTGAAGTGTCCTATCACCAATTTCTTCTCTCGGTCATCGTATTCGGTATTCTTGAATCATTCACATCTCATAGGTTCACGGAGCACCGCTGCCAAATTTAAGTTGTGCGTTAGAACTACATACTTTGATTTTCTTTTACTATACGGAGAATGGTCGCACTGCGCAGCTTTCTGAGTGCCTTTTAAAAGGAGATAGAAAACTCCGCCATTTTGAACCCTTATTACGTTTTGCCTACATCTTGGCGCAATATTTTTAATAGGTGCGTTTTAATCATCCGCTTCTGATTCGGAATTGTCGGTTTTCTTGTTTTAATCTGACAGGTTAGAACGACTAAATCGACAATTCCGGAAGCAGAAGCGGATGATTAAAACGCACCTGATATTTTGCTTGCTGCTGTCAGCGTCAGTGAATATTATTTTTGGAGTCACAGTTTATTGCTAAAGAATCAGTTAGCTCACTCGGACCAGTTGAAAGTTCCAAAATAACATCCACTCCAGGGATACAAATTCAGGATACGTAGACCCAGCAAACACACATACGTACATAAGACGTACTATGTACGTACTGATGGGACGTAAAGTACGTACCATGTACGTACTGTGTACGTACTTAATGTACATACTATGTACGTACTATATGTTTGTACTTATTCCAATAGAGTACATATTCTAGACGTTCTTTTCATCCTTATTGGTACTTACTTATGATGTAAAATGTATATATTAGTACAATACAAAAAAGTAAACAGGTTAATTTGTATTTTTTAATTTTTTACATTAAAAGAATAATTTAAATTGTATTGCTGTTTTTTTAAAGTTTTTAGACTATCATTAGCTCTTCTTAGCCATCTCACAATTTCCTGTTCTGCAACCTTCTTCTCTTTGCATTTGCTACTTTTTACAGCACCTTCTGCAAAGAAATAATATCAAATTAGAAACTCAACTTAGGTACTTTTTATAATAAGTAATGTAATAAAAATAATATAAAAGATGTAAAGTAAGCTCAAAATTATCATTGTCAATATACTCCTGGATCTAAACCTCTCTAATTTGTATCCACCTCTTTTGGTCTTATGCCTTTGAAATCCAATTTGTTCCTGACATTAAATTATTAGGGTCTGTAAAATATCACTTCTTTTGTCCTCCTGTTTATTCATTTCCTCAAACTTTTTCAATTGTTTTGTAGCATTTTTGTAATGTTAACTATGGGATGGGATCACATATCTATAAATTATATTTATTACACATAATTTTTTAAAATTAAAATGAAACCACTCACCAGAATAAAATGACAAAACTATGTACTTATAACACGCACTAAAAAGTCTAAAAGTCTTAAGAACTGTCTTGTTCAATTATAATAAATTATACGCAATTATTTATTTAAAGAAACACTTAATAGTTAAATTCTTAAACATAAAAAAACTAACAATAACAAACTGTTGAAACCGTTGAAACGTGGTTGCTTGCAACTTGGAACACTTAAAAAAACGAGCGAGTTTAGTTTAGAGTTTATGTTAGGTTAAATAAAATGTGTTTCTTCTTTGCATTTTTGCCTTTTTGGCCTACGGTCAACAGAAATTTGGTAAAAACTTAGGTTTTTCAATAAAATAGGTATGCAACCAGGATTACGTACACTTAGGTACGTACTTAGTACGTATTTTTCTATACGTACAGGTACGTACTATTGTGTACGTACTTAAAACGTACATTTTACGTCCTGTACGTACTGTACCAAAACTGTACGTACTTAAGACGTACTGTGCTGTTTGGGGAAGACTGCTGTTTTATTATAGGCGGTTGTCATATATTGTATTATCTGAGTTGCGCACTGTATAAACTGGAACATTGAGATAAAAAGTGCCGACGCAGAGTGAGCGATCTGATTCTTTAGCTATAAACTGTGTCATAGGGTTTAAAATGGCCGCGCCCTATGTTGGGCGTGTCGGACCTCTCTTGCCCCGTATAGTAATCAAAGTGAGAAAATTTTCAAGTTCCTACTTTTAAATAAATATCGATACTTTCAAATAAACTTTTATCCCTGGTCCCCCCCTTAAAATGTGAAAATCCAAAAACCCTGAAACACGTCATTATTAATTTGTACTCAGTAGCTGCAATTCCAATTTTCATGTTTCTAACTTTAAAGAGGACCAAAAACATGGATACCCCCCAAATAAATTTTCACCCCCCATTTCCCCCCTTAAAATGTGAAAATCCAAAAACCCTGAAACACGTTATTAATAATTTGTAGTCAGTAGCTGCAATTCCAATTTTCATGTTTCTAACTTCAAAGAGAACAAAGAAATCGATAGTCCCATACAAACTTTCACTCCCCGTTTTCCCCCCTTAAAATGTGAAAATCCAAAAACCCTGAAACACATCATTATTTATGCTTAGTAGCTGTAATTTAAATTTTCATGTTTCTAACTTTAAAGAACAAAGAGTTTTATTAAAAGCTCCCTCCCTCCCCCATTTCCTCCCATTTCCCCTCTTTAAAATTAAAATTTTCAAAAATCCTTTCTTAGCGGATGCTTACGTTATAAAATAAACCTATGTTCCAAATTTCAGCTTTCTAGGCTCAGTTGGCTATACGTTGATAGGTCAGTCAGTCATAGATAATAGATATATTATTGATTGATAAATGTGAATATTACAGGTCGTCCTATTTTTTTTTTTTTTTTTTTTTTTTTTTTGATAATCCAGTATATAAAATGTCGTTGCCAATATTAAGGAGGTCCTTTCGCCACCCCTTTCGCCACCAATGTTAAAAAAAAAGTTATTAGATTATGACTAAAATTATTTTTTTTCTAATAGTTGAAGTCTTTATTTACCTAATAGTGAACTTTTAACTATATCTTACCGTGCAAATTTTTGAGAAATATTTTTTTAAAAATGTGAGTATTTGTACACTGTCTTACGAGAAAGTAAGACCTGAACAACAATTCTCGAATTATACTATTATTTATTGATAAGATGGAGTAGAAAAAAAAAACTAAAAATAAGGTTTTTGAAATATTTAGGTTTTGTTTTTTACAATAAAATATATAGGTTACCGTGGAATTTATTGAGAAATTAATATTAAAAAAAAATTTCAAGCAACTTAGTTGAAAATTTTTTGTGATTTTTTAATATTAATTTCTCAATAAATTCCACGTTAACCTATATATTTTATTGTAAAAAACAAAACCTAAATATTTCAAAAACCTTATTTTTAGTTTTTTCTACTCCATCTAATCAATAAATAATAGTATACTTAATTACAATTCGAAAATTGTTGTTGAAGTCTTACTTTCTCATAAGACACTGTACAAAAAATACTCACATTTTTAAAATTCTTTTTTCTCAAAAATTTGCACGGTAAGTTATAGTTAAAAGTTCACTATTAGATAAATAAGGACTTCTACTATTAGAAAAAAATTAATTTAGTCATAATCTAATATTTCTTATTTAACATTGGTGGCGAAAGGACCTCCTTAAATTACGCATACGCTTATCAAGACGTATGTACTTACCCTATTAAACATAGTATAGCACTAGAAACATACGCTATACATCCCGGTGTCGATTTTGTTGTTGTGTCTATTTCTGCCTGGCAATGAGGGCATATCATATGCGTCGGATTCGGTCCCACAGGAACCACTGTCGTGACGATCTCTGGTCCCTTTGTGACGACTGTAACAAAAAAAACGGGCCATGTGTCACATTGATGTACATTAGCTGTTAAAAGTACCTATAAATAATTGTTGTAAGTTGGTTTTTATCCATATAAAAACAACAATTCCGTGTTTTTTTACTTATTTTATAGAATAACATGAAGTATTGAGAGATTAGTTTTTATGGTTATTTGTTGACATGAGAATAACGCTTTGATTATTTTGCCAGATATATTTCCCACTAAAAATAGTTTCTAATTGATAAAAATAAAAAATGATTGTAATTTCCTGGTATTTCGGATTTTTGGTGATTGAGCAACATTGTTCTATCTTTTACTGATCGAGATTACTGCAAATATAGGAAAGTAGATAAGAAAGTTTGCAATGAAAATTAAAAATGTTAGAAGGTGAATAAACTTGACAATCTGGTGTGTGAAATCATAATACATCCATTATTTATGGAATACTTAAAAATTAACCTAAATTTTAAACTGCCATATAGGAGTATATTTGTAAAAAATGCATGTATTTCACCACAGGTGTTAGAGTTGGATAGCTCTTTTCTTCGTCTATTAGCAACCAAGCCTTGATTTTACCATGTGCCAATATTGTACAGGGAATTTTTTAAAGTGTGCATCCATGTAAAATTGACAAAATTTTAATTCGGGATTTGGAAAATACCAGAGGTGGCTAGCGACCTAGTCTACGACGAGGAGGCTGGCACACCGTATAATACTTAATATAAAAATATATTTCTATTAGAATACAATGTAATATTTCTGCTTTTTGTATTCTAATAGAAATATATATTTGTATTAAGTATAGGTATAGCCTTTCAAAAGTAGACTAGGCCTCGAGCCGCCTCTGGAAAATACGAGCTTGTAAAAATTTCAATTTTTTTGGGTCGTTAGTTACAGATTTCCTTTGAGTATCTCCTGTATCAGTTTCATCTCAGTGCCGTGCGTGATAAATAAAAAAAGGGTTTTTCACAAAAACACTCTCATTTTTAGTGATTTTTTTGTCATAAGGACTTAAAGCTAAGGATGGTAAAGCTATAGTTGATGTAAACAAAATTACTTTGAGGAAAAAAGTACTTAAATACAATTACAAATTACATGAAAAAAAAGTAATTGTAATTATTAATTACTTTTTAACTAGGAATTGCCCAGCTCTGTTGTATGTACGTGTATTATTGCTATTATTGTGTTAACGGGTTTTTGAGATTGGTAGATTTTTCTTTGTTTTTTTATCCCCAATAAAACAAATTAAAAAATCTTCGAATAATTTAAGCTAAAGTACTTTTGAATCACCTTGTATAAATGACTTACATCAACTATAATTTTACCATCATTGATAATTAAAAGTGGTTATGACAAATTTTTGAAAAACCTTTATAGATAATTTATCACGCACGGCACTGAGATGAAACTGATATAGGAGATAGGTACTCAAATGAAAGCTCTAGCCAACGGCCCAAAAAATAGAAATTTTTACACGCTCGTATTTCCCAAATCCCAAATTAAAATTTTGTCAATTTTACATGGGTGCACACTTTGTTCAATTCCCTGTATTGGCATATGGCGAAATCAAGGCTTGGTTGCTAATAGACGATGAAAATAGTTTTCCAACTCCAAAACCCGCAGTGAAATACATGCATTTTTAAGAAATATATGGCAGTTTAAAATTTAGGTTCATGTTAACTATTCCATAAAAAATCTGATGTGTCCAACACATGGCTTTCCTATCTAGTTATTATTGGCTTTTTCCGGTTATTTTGTACAACCTATTGCAGCACCTCTATAAATATTTAAGGGGATAAACTAAATATATACATTTTCCACATACATCTAACTCGAAACATTTTTCTAAAGATATTCATTGAAAACGAAAATACTGAAAAATTTAAATTTAGCACTTTTCCTCCAAGTTTTCCATTACGGTCCATTTTAGAAAAATCATGTAAAAAGAAAAATTATAGAGATCGATATCGCAAACAACTTTTAGTTTTAACAATTTTCTTAAAAATCAGAATTTTGCACCTTTTGTCAAATTTCTCGAATACGGACCATTTCAAGAAAATTTGGCATAAAATAAAAATTATAGATAATAATATTGGAAGTAACTTTTATTTGAACAATTTTCTTTTCCAAACATAAGTAACAGATATATGCCATAAAATATAAAAACGAATTCCTGTAAAGTACCCCCCATTTCACCTTAGGCCGAAATAAAACTTAATTTTAAAATTTAATGTTTTTTCTTTATCCGTTTTTGAGTTTTCTTCAAAATTCTAAATTTACACATTTTCTTAAATATCTCGAATATAGTTCATTTTAGTGAAATTATGTATGGAATAAAAATAATAGATAATTATATTACAAACAACTTTTATTTGAACAATTTTTATAAAACAATAATTTTTTTACATTTTGTCAAATTTTTCGAATACGGACCATTTTAGTAAAATTTTGTATAGAACAAAAGATATAGATAATATAAGTAACTTTTATTTGAAGAAATTTCTTTTCCAGACGTAAATAACAGATATATTCCATAAAATATAAAAATGGCCTCCCATAAAGTACCCTCCCCAGATGTTCCGACTCTGCCCAAAATCTAATCAGTTCACTGGACGCTGGAACAAAGCTTAAGTTTAAAATTTTGTGTTTTTCTGTGTATCGGTTCATGAGTTATGGTGAATACACACACACACACGCACGCACGCACGCACGCACGCACGCACGCACGCACGCACGCACGCACGCACGCACGCACGCACGCACGCACGCACGCACGCACGCACGCACGCACGCACGCACGCACGCACGCACGCACGCACGCACCCACCCACCCACCCACACACACACACACACACACACACACACACACACACACACACACGCACACACACACGCACACACACACACACACACACACACACACACACACACACACGCACGCACACACACACACACACGCACACACACACACATCATCGCGAAAATAGTCAAAACGGATTCAGGGGACCCCAAATGTAAAAAACCGTCCTAAACTTGAGGTCGAAAAAATCATGATTCCTATACTTTCCTTATCTGTATACAGATAGGAAAGTAAAAATGGACTGAGTGTACATAATAATAGACCTATGTATATTCAACGAGCATATTGTACATCTTAAAAATATTTCATTTTCTTTATTGATTTTAAATAAAATAATGTTTTGTCTGATTTGGCAATATAAATAGGCAACACAAATTAAAATGTTTCGTTTTTGGAACACAAATTAATGTCAGGTATTTATGTTTATATAGGGTGTCCCGAAATTAGACGGTCAAGTAAAAGTTCATATAAACATAGATCCGAAAACGTTTTGTTTCCGAGATACAGGGTGTTACAAGTGAAGTCCTGATGGCACATTTTTGTAAATATTTTGTAAAATTTGTTTAGTCACCGGTTTTCCAAAGTAAAAAAAAATAAAATTTCTAATTCCACAGGCCTATTAATTATTGTTCACACTTTCGAATAAGATAACATTAACTCATCATGAAATTTTCAAATGCTTCTCTCTTGAAAATGGTGCGTCCTAACGAGATGCAACAAAAGTAGCTTTATTAACTAACTATTGGTTTTCCAAATTTTATAGTCAAAAATGTTAAAAACTGTCAACAAAAAAAACCTAGGGCACTTTTACCCGAAGCCCCCCTAATTTACCCACCTATGAAGATGATCAAAACCTGGGTTTAGCCAATTAAATAGAGCCTAAAGAGGTAAGCATTTGTACAAAATTTCATTTAGTTATCTATAAACGTGTAGAAAATATTTACAAAAGTGTGTCATCAGGACTTCATATTTAACACCCTGTATCTCGGAAAAGAAACGATTTCGGACCTATGTTTATATGAACTTTTACTCCTATTTTAGGATGTATATTACGCTGTTAAAATATGACCTCTAATTTCGGGACACCCTGTATAGGTAGAGTTGCCCATTCTATACTAAATACGTGATGGTATAATAAATGATCTAGATTTTAAAAGTAAATTTTTATTTATATATCTATAGGTATTTTAATTACACATTTTTTTTTTCACAGTTTACCTAAAATGGCGGTATCTGTTATAGGTTTATGCAGACACGTAAAAATTAACTGTTTTTATCCTAAATATCGAACTCGAAAAAATAATAATGTAGGTATAAAAGTATAGGCGAAAGTTTGAATATGCGTTAAACGGTAATATCTAAAAATATACCTATATTAAATTAAAAAAAAAACAGTATATCATAATTACTTATAATCATTACCGAACATAACAGTAATTAATTTGATACTTAACATCAGTTAAATGTTAAATGTAATGTTCTTTATTAAGTACTTAATTTTATAAAACAATTAAAAAATGCACGTATGCCAATAATTTGTTTCATGGAATTTTGTAACTTCCGTTCTTTAGAATATATTATATTGGTAAGAAGTGAAATTGCCCATTTATGAACCAATACGAAATCGGGACTCTACCTAGTAGATTTTTAAGTGTTTCTAGTTCCTACAAAGAATTCGTATAATGCTACGACGATATCTCCTTGGGACTCTTGATTTTAAAAACTAATCGGCTCATTGTCGGTCAGGGATAATATTACAAGGGAAATGATTAATATTAGGGTATTTTATTTTGAACCCTCTAAAAAGTTAAACGTGTTCAATATCGCGTACCAACTATCAACATATTTATGTCGTATTTTACAGTTTTTTTAGTAAACCGTCTGTAATGGATTTCTAATTATTGTCATTTTTACTATTTTAATGATTTTGTTTATGGAAATAATTGAATGTTTTTTAAATATAATGATGTATATTATAGAATACCAATCTATCATTGCCTACTTTAATAATAATTGAATGTTTTTTAAATATAATGAAGTATGTTATAAAATACCAATCTATCATTGCCTACTTTGGTATTATTTTGACATGTAGGTAAATATTATTTTCCTACGACCACTTAGGAAAGTGATACACTA